CCCGGCTGTCGGCGCCCCGGGACTGCGGGCGCCCGCCTCCCCGGCGCAATGGACTCCGCGGCGGCACGGCTGCTGGAGGCTGCAGACTTCGCGGCTCGCAAGCACCGCTGGCAGCGGCGGAAGGACCCCGAAGGGACCCCCTATATCAACCACCCCATCGGTGGGGGCGAGCCCGCCACCGTGCGCGCCCGCGGGGGAGGGAGGACCCGAGAAGGGAAGGCGGAGCGCGCGCGCACACTGGGCACCTGCCGGGTACCGCGCTCTGTGCCCGGCACGCTGCTGTTGCGCCTCACAGCCACCCGGGCGGCAGCGCGGCTCGGCGCCTTCCCGCCGTGACGCCAAGCGGACTGCAGGACTCGCCCGAGGCCGCCCGACCCGCCTGACTTCCCGTTTGCCCCTCCAGGTGTGGCTCGCATCCTGACCCACGAGGCCGGCATCGCTGACGTGGTGGTGTTACAGGTAACCCCCCCTGCGCCAGGAGGCCGGGCGCGTCCGGGCCCGGGCCACTCCGGGCACTGCCTGATGGCCACAGCTGACGGGCGGCCGTCCCCAGGCCGCCCTGCTCCACGACACGGTGGAGGACACCGACACCACCCTGGATGAACTGGAGCTGCACTTCGGGGCACAGGTGCGGCGTCTGGTGGCGGAGGTGACAGACGACAAGACTCTGCCCAAGCTGGAGAGGAAGCGGCTGCAGGTGGAGCGGGCGCCCCACAGCAGCCCCGGCGCCAAGCTGGTGAAGCTGGCGGACAAGCTGCACAACCTGAGGGACCTGAACCGCTGCACCCCTCAGGGTACGCTGCCCCGCCTGCTCCGGAGGGGGGCGGGGTGCCCCTCACGGGACGGTCAGCCCCCCTGGAGGAGCGCTGGGGGTGACCCCGGGGGACGACCCTGCTCTCGGCGCGGCGAGGAGGGCCGAGGGCGCCGTGGGGAGGGGCCCCTCAGCGGGCCGTGGCGGGCCCAGCCCCGCTGTACTGGCCGCGGCTCTGTGCCCCTCCGCAGGGTGGTCCGCGGCCCGCGTCCAGGAGTACTTCCAGTGGGCGGCGCAGGTGGTCAGAGGGCTGCAGGGGACGAGCCCGCCGCTGGAGGAGGCGCTGCGGCAGCTGTTCAAGGAGCGGGGGCTGG